TATACCATCCCTACTAAGGGTATAAAAAGGGCAATAAATAGGCATTGATACTATCGGATATCTATAATGGAAGTCAACCTGTCAATAAGATGGCGAGAAGATAATTCCCTTGGTTAGTGAACACGGGATATAAGGTGGAGGAGATATAGGTGCAGTACAGGTGCTCTATGTAGCCTCGTATGGATCCCCATTACACATACTATTTAAATATTATTTGGAAACCATTGTAAATTTGGATATCATGGGTATTATTTCAGGTTTTTATTCTACTATTCAGTGCCTGGGATGGAAAGATTTTTATTCTAAGTATGTACTTTGAATTAATTTGTTTTTCTTTTCACAAAATGCTTATTGGAAAGTAAACACCTACTAAGAGTATTCATATTGCAATATGAAATAAAACATTTTATTTTTGTCGGTAAATTATTAAGATTTTTTGAATTTTTTTTATATTTTTCGGGATTTAGAAATCCCGAAAATCCCGGGATCCCGATATCGGGATTCCGGGATTTATTTAAAAATCCCGAATCCCGGGATTTCTAAAAACCAGTCCCGATTGGCATCCCTAATTGGAAGGCTATACGGATACTACAGAATAGAAACTTTAAACACTGATCCCAAATAGAATCTCTTGGTCAAGTAGAGCAAATACTTATTGGAACCCGTTGCTACAAGAATAGCTCTAAATTGGGGGATTTACCGACAGTCAGAAGGCAATTAGGGCGGTATAAAGTTAAATTTAAGACCGTATTGGATTGTAAAAAAGCTTTAACTGAATACTATCTCCGTGTTAGGGTTTACTGCTAGTTGTTACCAGGCCACTAGGGGTGAATTTATTAGCGTTAAAGGGAAGAGAACTCGAGGTAGTTAACCTGACGAATCATTCGAAATCATTCGACGGAACGAAGGCGGCATTAAAAATATGAGAGAGAATCCCATAAGGCCTCTCAGAAAAATGAAACGGTGGGTAGAACTACAAAGATCCTATCGAGTGACCCTAATGAGGGCTAAACAAAAAATCTGCTCAAAATGAGCAACTCTTTGGTTAGTATGATGGTACGTATTCTGAGTGGACACATAGGATTACGGGCACAGCTATACAAAATTGGACGTTCGCATATAGAGAAGACATTGAAACTTTGGAGCACTTTCTTTGCCACTGTCAGGAATGGAAATTTTGAAAGGAAATTTCATTAACAATTTCGTTTAAAGTTATGGTATTTATGGAATATTTTCTTTATAGAATTAAACAAAACTTTTCATTAAAGAGAGAAAATTTATTAGAAATCTTCTTTAGATACATAATTATTTAGAAAATAATTTTTTTTAAATTATTTGAATTAAAAAAAATATATATGAAATCTAATATCGAATATAATAAAAACGGTTTCATTTTCATGTATTACTATAAATAACAATCGAACTACGTAAATCACCACCCACTCACTACCATTTACAACCTTAGCAAAAAGAAAAAAATATATATAAAAATAGACAAGTACTCAATTTCATCTATCAATCATATTAGTCTACCATTAAAATTTAATATAATAAAAATCGTTATAATAAATTGCAACAATATCCACTTATTATAAAAAAAAAAAACTAAAAAACGAAATTCTTTAAACCACTAAAGAGACAAATTACATAGATTTTACAGCTTCTAGGATAACACTTTAGTGAGTTTAAACCTTTTTGTTACAAAAGACTTTAAGTTTTCAATAAGACTTGTTGAGAACAAATTACATTTTCCTCTCAACTCCTTTTTTAGATTTTTCCCTTAAACTGTTACAAGGATTTTCTTAGGATTAATTCATTTCAAATTCAAAACAACGTCACACCTTTTTTCCAATTTATTTCACTTAGAAAAAAAATGTCTCCAAGAAAATCACAAAATGTGTAACTAACAGCTAGATGTGGCTGTGAAAGAAATATGACCAGAATGTGTCACAGAACAAAAAAAAAAACGAAGAAAATAAATTTTAATGAAGAGATTACTAGGTATTACACAAAGAGGCTACAAGATATTGAAGGTTTTCTTATTTTTTTTTTTTTTTTTTTTTGGGCCACAATTAACGAGGGGTTGAAGAGAAAATTTAAAGCAATTGTATGGTTGTTATTGGAAATTAGAGTAATAAAAAATCATGGTGCTATTTGGATTTCTTTAATAAGACCCGAAACTTAAAAACAGAATCATGTCGTGAGGTCGGAAGTGGGACCTTAAAGAGAAAAGCTTTTTAGGTAAATCTTTTTTCTCCATAGAATCCAGCTAGTTATTGAGGAAGCTTTTATGTACAAACAAAGTTTTATTACTTTTTCAAAAGCTTTTTTGATGTAATATTTTTAACCAGAAAAGTTTTTTTTTGCTAAAAGATATTTTTAATACAAGAAGCTTTTTTCCGAAAAAAAAGCATTTTTATTACAAAAAGCTTCTTTTCAGACGATATACTCTTTTCTTCCCAAAAACACTTTTTCTAAAAGAGAACTTATGAATCCAAACATTGAAATCTAGACATTTTTAATAAAAATTGAAGCACCATAAAGTTTTTTGTAATAAAATAGTTTTTTTTTCATATAAATAATAACACCTTTTTACAAAAAAAAAAAAAAAAAAAAAAACATAAATACAAAATAAATTGAAAATAACCCTTTCATCGAAAAAACAAACACTTTTTACTAAAAAAGCTTTTTTAATACAAAAATAAAATTGTTTTCCATCCAAACATGCTTTTAGTCTTCAAAAAAAAACTTTTTTCACAAAACAAAAAAAAACTTTTTTTAGTGAGATGCTTTTAGTCTCCACAAAAGCTTTTTTGTTATTTAACAAGCGTTTTCATGAAAAAAGCTTTTTTCATGAAAATAATTTTTTTATCGAAATAAGGATATAAAAAAAACTTTCTCAAACAAAAAGCTTTTAAACAGAAAGATTTTTTATAAAAGTTCACTGCACCTCAAAAAAGCTCTTTTATATATTTTAGATATAAATTGAATAAAAGCTTTTTTCGCTCGAAGAAAGTTTTTTTACTAAAAAACTTTTTTCATTCAAATATTTTTTCAAGCTTTTAAATGGAAAAAAATTTTACTAAAAAAGCTTTTTATCCAAAAATTAAGTATTTCATTACATTACATCTAGTAAAAAGCTTTTTTCATTCAAAACTTTTTCAAGCTTTTAAAAGGGTAAAAAAATTGAATAAAAAAGCTCTTTATCCAAAAATTAAGTATTTCATTACAAAAAGCGCCAAAAAAGTTCACTGCATCTCAAAAAAGCTCTTTTCAATAAAATGGAAAATAAGTTTTTTTTCACTCCAAAAAAAGTTTTTCTACCAAAAAGCTTTTTTCATAAAAGTATTTGTTCAAGCTTCTAAATGGAAACAGATTTCATATAAAAAAGCTTTTTATCCAAAAATGAAGTATTTCATTACAAATAGCGCATTTTCACACAAATAAACTTTTGGTTTTCAAAAAAAGCTTTTACTAAAAAGTTCTTATTTTGCTAAATATGTAAAAAAAGAATAAGCTTTTTTCATAAAAATATTATATTTTCACTCAAAGAAGGGTATTTTACTAAAAAAAAACTATCTCAGCCTAAAAGCTTTTTAACGAAATAAAGTTGTTTACAAATCTCACTGTATCTTTAAAGTATAATAGAAAATAAAAAACTTTTTTCATTCAAATACCACTTCTCCTAAAATAAACTTTTTTTAATTATACTGAAAAAGCTTTCTCATCTAAAAAGCTTTTTAAAAAAAAAACGGTTTTAGAAAAAATTTTTTCAAAGGCTAATAAAAATCCTATTTTCAATATAAATTCAAAATAGGATTCTTTACAAGAAAAACTTTTTTTTTTTCTACTAAAAAGCTCTTCTCATTCAAATACGACTTCCTCTAAAAATAAGAAATCTTCATCATATGTATTTTCAATAAATTTTTTTTTTTTTCAAAAAAATATGTTGCATTTTCAAGCCCAAAAATTAACTTTTTTCATAGAAAAGCTTTTTGACACTAAATCTTAACAAAATTGTTTCACTAAAAAAAATAATTTTTAATAAAAAAACATAAAAAAATTATTTCACTACAAAAAGTTTTTTCGACTGAAAGAGCTTTTATTATCGAAACACAGTTTTACTAAATAAAAGCTTTTTTCAAAAATAACCTTCACCAATCAAAGCTTTTCTCTGAGAAATTTAAAAAGGCTTTTTTCTTAAAAAAATGTTAATCTCCAAAAAGCATTTTTCCTAAAAAAAGTGAAATGATGTTAACATAATTATCACTAAGTTTTATTTTACAACTTTAACTATAAAGAGAACTTTACCCCACCCAAGAAAACTTTTTTTATTTGTTTTTACTCCTTTCATTTAAACAAATTTCCCACAGGATCTTCACAATAACAACAACAACAAAACAAACCTTAATATGCAGATTACCTTTAATAAAACCAGCCTTAATTATTTGCGTATTTAGTTTTCTACTATGTTTTCCATTTCATTTAACCAAATTTCCCACAGGACCCTCGTCTTATCTAGATGGAAAAAAAAAGTAAAAATAAAATATGTCTCTAAAAATCATTTCTATACTAAGAGTATTAAATGACTTTAACTATATTTTTTTCTTCTATTTGAACAAAATTCTGGAAACTTAATAGGATTTGTTTAATGTTAAACTAAAAAGAGAAATCACCTAAAAAAGTCAACCAAAAAAAGGAAAAATTTTTTTGGTTATATCTTTTACAACTGTCAAAGGATGTCAATAAATTAAAAAATAACATGAAATGTGTATTATTTAAAGTAACAACATTTTTTTCTAAGGAAAACGACCTTGAAAACCAACACTCAAAATACCAAATAACATTTGGTTAAAAAAACACAAACATATTAAAAAAACCTTTTTCAGATTTTTGCAAAAAAAAAAAAACTTACTAAATTTGTTTTATATTTCTTTAATAATTTCATGTGGCTTTAACTAAAACAAACGTCTGGATAATTCAAACAAAATTAGGTCATCTTGGTATTGAAAGCTTTTAATTTGTATGGCAGTTCTCATGTAACGGTTATTATACAAATTATTTCCCATGTCTTGGCCTACACCAACTCCTGCATAAATCCCATTTTATATGCCTTTTTATCCGACAACTTTCGCAAGGCATTTAGAAAGGTAAGTATTTTTTTTTGTAATAATTCCCAAGTACACAAGTTACAACTATTTAGTATTAAACATATTGTAAATGACTCTAACAACAAAAAAAGGAAAGAGGTTGACAATTTGCAATTAATTTAATTACATACTTTTTGTTTGCTGTTAATTTAATTACATCTACTAACGCCCTCATTCGGGCTCTCTTCTCTCTTTATTTTTCTATATTAAAGATTGTCTGGTGCGGTAGTCCTCCACCCATTATAACAAATCAACAAGTTACTAAAACAACGCGCACGGCAACCGGAAATGGCACTTCAAACATTGATATGCTGTAGATAAACACTCAACAACTACAATATTCTAGCAGCAATAGCAACCATAACTACAACATTAACAACAACAACAGCGGCTGCAGCATTGACAACTATATAGGACGATGACGGTGTAGACAAGGACTATGAAAACAAGGACTACAACGAGGACGTTTTTAAAACAGATTGCAATTGTACATTAGACAAACAGGTCATAGAAGGAAACAATAAAAACGTAACGGAAAAGGTGTGTTTGTACTACAACATGAACATGACAACACAACATATTTTTCGAACAACCGCCACTGTAACAATGTTAGATATGTTGTAATAATTTAAAAGCTTATTTACAGTGCCGGCTAAAAGTTAAAGTATATTCCCGACTATAGTCTAGTCTATAGTCCCGACTATAGTCTAGTCTATAGTCCCGACTATAGTCTAGTCTATAGTCCCGACTATAGTCTAGTCTATAGTCCCGACTATAGTCTAGTCTATAGTCCCGACTATAGTCTAGTCTATAGTCCCGACTATAGTCTAGTCTATAGTCCCGACTATAGTCTAGTCTAGTCCCGACTATAGTCTAGTCTATAGTCCCGACTATAGTCTAGTCTATAGTCCCGACTATAGTCTAGTCTATAGTCCCGACTATAGTCTAGTCTATAGTCCCGACTATAGTCTAGTCTATAGTCCCGACTATAGTCTAGTCTATAGTCCCGACTATAGTCTAGTCTATAGTCCCGACTATAGTCTAGTCTATAGTCCCGACTATAGTCTAGTCTATAGTCCCGACTATAGTCTAGTCTATAGTCCCGACTATAGTCTAGTCTATAGTCCCGACTATAGTCTAGTCTATAGTCCCGACTATAGTCTAGTCTATAGTCCCGACTATAGTCTAGTCTATAGTCCCGACTATAGTCTAGTCTATAGTCCCGACTATAGTCTAGTCTATAGTCCCGACTATAGTCTAGTCTAGTTCCCTATAGTCTATAGTCCCGACTATAGTCTAGTCTATAGTCCCGACTATAGTCTAGTCTATAGTCCCGACTATAGTCTAGTCTATAGTCCCGACTATAGTCTAGTCTATAGTCCCGACTATAGTCCCGACTATAGTCTAGTCTATAGTCCCGACTATAGTCTAGTCTATAGTCCCGACTATAGTATAGTCTACAGTCCCGACTATAGTATAGTCTATAGTCCCGACTATGGTATAGTCTATAGTCCCGACTATAGTATAGTCTATAGTCCCGACTATAGTATAGTCTATACTAGAGTAAAGTCTAGTCTATAGTCCCGACTGAAGTCTAGTCTAGTCTAGTCTATAGTCCCTACTATAGTCTAGTATATAGTCAAACAATAGTCTAGGCTACAGTCCAGATTATAATTTTACCTATAGTCCAGACTATGGTCTAGTCTACAGTCCAGACTATGGTCTTGTCTATAGTCCCGACTATAGTATAGTCTATAGTCCCGACTAAAGTCTAGTCTATAGTCCCGACTGAAGTCTAGTCTAGTCTATAGTCCCTTCTATAGTCTAGTATATAGTCAGACAATAGTCTAGGCTACAGTCCAGATTATAATTTTACCTACAGTCCAGACTATGGTCTTGTCTATAATCCAGACTATAGTCTAGTCTATAGTCCAGACTATAGTCTAGTCTATTGTCTAGTATATAGTCCAGACTATTTTCTATTATTTAGTCCAAACAATAGTCTAGTCTACAGTCCAAACTATTGTCCCGACTATAGTCTAGCCTATAGACCAAACTGTAGTCTAGTTTATAGTCCAGACTACAGTGCAGACTACAGTCTAGTCTATTCTCTAGACTGCAGTCTAGTGTAAATTCAGACTATAGTCTAGTCTATAGTCCAGATTACATTCTAGTCTAGAGTATATTCTATTGTCCAAACTAAAGTCTATTCTATAGTCCTAACCAAAAAATAGTCTGTCTATAAATAGACTAGTCCATAGTCTGGACTTTAGACTAGTCCATAATCCAGATTATATTCTGTGCTTTAGTTTGTTAGCTATAGTCTGGATCATAGACTTGGCCGTAGTCCTGGTTATAATCCAGTCTATAATCTTGACTACAGTCTTATCTATAGTCCAGTCTATAGCCCTGGCTATAGCTTAGTTAATTTTCCCGTTCTTTTCTCCAGCCACTGTAGCCCCCGAGGAATACATGTTTCATAAATAATTTAATTAAATTTTCTTTTTTACACTTATTTGCAGTAATTCAATGGAAAAAAGAGACTCAAGTGTTAGCAACGCCACAGCTACGAACTACTAAAACCATCTCTACCCAGACAATGATCACCATCACGACGACTTTTAATTGTAGCCTCATGAACGAGGAAAAAAGGAAACCAATAAAAAAAACACCAGCCAACACCGCCAACCAAATCCAACAATTTCCACAAGGATGTGGATTGATTGTGTTGTGAGTGTGTGTGTGTGTTGGCTTGTATGGCGGCAGAGGGTGTTAAAAGACCACAGACTTTAAATTAAAATACAATTTTCAAAGGTTTCCTAAAAACCCGACCACAAAACGAAAATTAAGCCAACAATTAAATTGCAAAAGAGAACAAAAACGAATGAAGAAATATATTCCTAAAAATTAAAAAAAAATATTTGTAAAATAGTAAAATAAATTATATAAGACAGGTTTTCATTAAGAATTGTTATGAATTTAAAAAATATAAAAAAAAACGTTATTTTTAATTTAACACTTTTTTTCCTAGAATTTGGCCTAATTTTTAAACAATTTACAAATTGTAGTTATAATAAATATATTTACAGAGTAAAATTTAATTATAAAATTTATAAAAAAAAAACAAAAAAACCAACAAACTTAATTAAGTATGAAATAATAATTATATTTGACCAGCCATTTAACCCACAATAAACAATTTTAAATTGTATTGTGATAAAATGGTGTTTGGTGGCAAATTGTGTTAAAAAAATGAGGAAAAAATCTTAATAATAAAACAAAAATAAATAAATTTAAAATTTTAGAAATATAAATTAACAAATAAATAGATTTTTAATAAAACTAGTTACATATTTTTTGTATTGTAAATAAATATAAATAAATTAAATTAAGGATTTAAATATTGATTGGAGTCTGGTTATTTTTGAACAAAAAAAAAAAAAAAAAACAAATTGTATTTAGTTATTAAGTTTTTAATTTAAAAACAAAATATAAAAATAATTGTATAAATTTTAATAGTAAAACAACAGAGCAAGTGTTTGCAGAGGAAGTATTCTAACAGGGATTAAGAAAACAGATTTACTCTTTCAATATTTAATAACTTAAAAGGAAATTGTAAAGTTACTTATAAATATTTATTTAAAGAAACTTTAAATTTACAACGAATTTTATTGTAATTAAATTGGTTTTTAAAATGAAAAGAAAAAAATATTTTTGGAATTATTAAAGTTTAAAAAAGTTTTTCAAAGAAATTTTAATTTATACAAAATGTTTAGTCAAGTTTTCCTCGTAAAGTTGGAATGAAAGTTTTAGAAACTTTGTGTGAGTATTTTAATGAATTTAAAAGAAAAACAAAACTAAATGGAGTTTCTAAAGCTTTTATTAGTAATAGAGTAATTTTTCCTAATGTTTCATATAATTCCATTTCGTTCCTATTGAATTTATTTTTCTTTTAACTATATTTGCTTAAGTTTAGCTTGTTTTACCATTTTTTTAGCAATTTTATTTAATGTTTCATTAAATTCCATTTCGTTCCCATATGCAAAAACTGTTAATAACTTGAAATAAATGATGTTTTTAGCTTTTTAATTTGTAAAGGAGTTAATTTTGAACAATTTTACTTGATGATCCATTAAATTCCATTTCGTTCCTCTTTGCAAAAGCTAGTAATAACATGTAAACAACTAATTTTTCATAATGTTTCATATATTTCCAGTTTGTTCCTTTCGTTTAAACATTAAATTTATTTTGATTTTTAACTATATTCCATTTTTATCTTTTTAAACTACATATTTCTTTAAATTCCATATTGTTCCTCTATGCAAAAACTGTTAATAACATCAAGTAAATGGAGTTTATAACACTTTTATTTTTAAAGAAGTATGTTTTAATTTTTAACAATTTTACTTGATGTTCCATTAAATTCCATTTCGTTCCTCTTTGCAAAAGCTACTAATAACATGTAAACAAGTCATTTTTCATAATGTTTCATATATTTCCAGTTCGTTCCTTTTGTATAAACATTAAATTTACTTTGATTTGATAACTATATTCCATTTTAATTTTGTTAAACTATTTTGCTGCAATTTTACTTAATGTTTCATTCCAATTCCATATTGTTTCTCTATGCAAAAACTATTTATAAGATGCAATAAATTAAGTTTTTAGCACTTTTATTTGTAACGGAGACAGTTTTCATAATATTTCATACAATTCCATTTCGTTCCCTTTGTTTAAATATTAATTTTTTAAAATTTTAAACTATATTTGGTTAATTATATTTACTTGAATTAATTTTTAACAATTTTACTTGATGTTCCATTCCATAAATTCCATTTCGTTCCTCTTTGCAAAAGTGCTATTAACAACATGTAAACAAGTAACTTTTCATGTTTCATATATTTCCAGTTCGTTCCTTTTTTTTAACATTAAATTTACTTTAATGTTTAACAGCATTCATAAAATTCCATTTTGTTCCTCTATGCTAAAATTATTAATAACTTTTTTTATTACATATTATATTTAATGTTTCATTTCAATTCCATATTGTTCCTCTATGCAAAACTGTTAATAACATCAAGTAAATGGAGTTTATAACACTTTTATTAGTAAAGGAGTCAGTTTTCGTAGTGTTTCATATAATTCCATTTCGTTCCCTTTTGTTTAAAAAGTATTTTCTTTGAATTTTTAACTGTATTTGGTTAATTTTATTTACATGAATTAATTTTCAACACTTTTACTTGATGTTCCATTAAATTCCATTTCGTTCCTCTTTACAAAAGCTAGTAATAACACATAAACAAGTAATTTTTCATAATGTTTCATAAATTTCCAGTTAGTTCCTTTTGTTTAAACATTAAATATACTTGATTTTTAACTTTATTCCATTTTCATCTTTTTAAACTATTTTGCTGCAATTTTACTTAATGTTTAATTCCAATTCCATATTGTTCCTCTATACAAAAACTGTTAATTACATGAAGTAAATGGAATTTCCAACACTTTTATTTGTAACCGAGTAAGTTTTTATAATGTTTCATATAATTCCATTTCGTTCCCTTTTTGCTTAAAAAGTATTCTCTTTGAATTTTTAACTGTATTTGGTTAATTTTATTTACATGAATTAATTTTCAACACTTTTACTTGATGTTCCATTAAATTCCATTTCGATCCTCTTTACAAAAGCATATAAACAAGTAATTTTTCATAATGTTTCATAAACTTCCAGTTAGTTCCTTTTGTTTAAACATTAAAATTACTTTAATTTTTAACGGCGTTCATAAAATTCCATTTTGTTCCTCTATGCAAAAACTGTTAAGAACTTTTTTACAATTTTTCTTAATGTTTCATTAAATTCCATTTTGTTCCTCTATGCAAAAACTGTTAATAACATTAAGTAAATAGAGTTTTTAACACTTTTGTTTGTAAAGGAGTCAGTTTTCATAGTGTTTCATTTAATTCCATTTCGTTCCCTTTGTTTAAATATTAATTTTTTTGGGAATTTTTAACTGTATTTGGTTAATTTTAGTTATTCTAATTAACTTTTAACAATTTTACTCGAAGTTCCATTGAACTCCATTAAGTCCCACTTTTCGTTAGTTAAATTAATATTTAATGTTTCATTAAATTCCATTTTGTTTCTCTTTGCAAAAACTGTTAATGACATGAAGTGAATGGAATTTCTAACACTTTTATTTGTAAACAAGCCAGTTTTTATAATGTTTCATATAATTCCATTTCGCTCCCTTTGTTTAAACATTAAATTTAGTTTAATTTTTAACTATTTTGAACTTTTTTATTTAATTTTTTTTAAGTTAGTTACTGTTTCAGTCAATTTCATTTTGTTCCACTTTGTTAAATGCAAATTCTTGTTTTTTTATTTATTTCGTTTGTTTCCAGTTTTGTACGAACATTTTTAAAAAATTCATAAAATTCCATTTCATTCCACATAAAAAATGTTTATATTTAAGACAAAATCTCTTAAATTTTGACTTTTTTGTATTGTTTAATTCCATATTTCAGGTAATTCCATTTCGTTCCACTTTTTTAAATGTTAATTTAGGCTAGTTTTCTCAAGTTTTGTAGGAAAATTTTTAAGTTTTCGAAAAACATTTTCTTTATGTTTCACAAAATTCCATTTCGTTCCATATAACCAATTTTTATCGTTTCACTTCTTTAAATGTAAATTTACTCGTACTGGAGTTTTTCATACGAAAAATATTTTCCTTATGTTTCAAATTTTTGTATATTAGAGTATGTATAACAAAACTTTTTTCTATTACTGATTTACTTAGACGATGTTTCATGCAAGTCCATTTTGTTTCTCTTCAGATTTATTAAGCAAATATAAATTTTGTAGGACAATTTTTGAGTCTTTTATAGGAAAAACATTGTCTTTGGTGTTTCACAAAATTCCATTTCGTTCCTCATATGAAATTTTATATATTTAAGTTTATTTTTTAAGAAAACTTTATCAATATCTCGCTAATAACAGTTGCGACATTGCCTTTAAGCTTTTTCATTGCTGCTAAATTAATACCAATGACTTTATCTTTAAACGAGCCCCAAAGATAAAAGTCTAAGGGAATTATAAATCGCACGATTTGAAATGTAAATAAAATAGAAACCCAAACACTAAAAACAACTGTTATTTTGACAGGTGCGAAATAGTATAAAGAAATCTGTAAATTAAACCAAATCCTGTCTTTATTGAATATAAATCACAATTGAAATCTTAAGCTAAGAATACTTCCCCAACAAACGTCCTTTGCTGAAAAACAACACAATTTAAATTATTGATTTAAAAAAAGGAAAATTTAACAAAATCTAGAAAATCTCGACCAAACTAAATAAGCCAATTACAGACTCAGACAGTGTCCATTTTTTTAAAAACACATTTCTTACAACAAGTCTCAAAACAATTTACAGCTTTTGAAGCTTATAGACTGAAAATGAAAGTTATATTTTAAAATGGACATTGACCAGAGTAGGGATTTGCTCGTTACCACATTTAACTGTAAATTATTGCACTCATGTTACAGAAGGATTTAAATTGTACAGTTTGTTTTTTCTTTTTTCATTGGAACATGTTACAAAAAAAATTTGTATAGAAATAAATTTTAAACAGTTTGCTTGGGTTATATTTTTTTTTAATTTCATTTACAAGTGTTTGTTAACAAAAAAATATATATAACAATAGAAAAAAACTAAAGAGAGAGAGAGAGAGGAGAAAAATTTACATTTTTAAAATGCAACAATACACAATTGTAAAATCCTAAAAGCATTAAACACTCAAAAAGGACAACACAACAAAAGTGCAAAATGCTTAAAAATAACACAAAAACCATACTAGAAACAACAACAACTACAAAAAAACTACTGTAATTCAATGTAATGTAAAATTCATGTTTAAATGTAAATTAATAGTTAAAACTTAACAAAACAAAAATAAAAGAAAAATTAAACACAAATTACAGAATAAAAAAGGAGGAAACTAATTTAACTATAGTTGTTATTGACAAGAAAAAACACTAAATAGAATTTATTTAAAAGAAACAAAAAACCTAAAAAATTATTTAAAGAAAATAAGTTAAAAGAAACTATTAAAATAAAATAATAATAAAACTGTTTTTAAATAAAATTTTGAAATTGAAAAGAAAAATAATAATAAAAAAGCTAAACCCATGTAAAATTTAAAAAAAGAATGAAATTAAAAAAATTATATATATTTAAAATAAAGAAAGAGAAAAAAGAAACAATTTTCATAAAATGTTTTTTTTATAAAGAATGGAATGACGTAATGGAGGTAAGTA